AAGACCTATGCATGATCAGAGCATTCTGGAAACATAGCTTAACAGAGGTTTATTACCTCCCGATGTTGTAATATTTTCAATACATAACAGAAACCCTATGTAAATAAGCAACTAGATGAACCCCACTTATAAAGCCTAAAAATGTGTGAAAAATAACATAAACAGAACCACATAAAAATAAAATTGGAGCTACGACTGGAGGAACTGCCTTGCATGCCTTACTCCTCAAACCTTTGGAATGTTAGAACAGTCCAAAATAACCTTTGGACTGGGTCAAACCACCATGTTCTTCCAAACAAGTTGGTTAAACTGACAGAAGTGCCATCGTAGTTCTTGGGTTCCAAAATCACCCCAATCAGAACTGGACACCTAGAACGTTGTTCATTCCCAGAAACATGCTTTTTGGCCTTTGTTCTTTGTACACTCGTTACCCTCTGCCTAGACACTCCTTCTCCTGAGTTGTTAACTCCTGCTCAACGCTCAGGTCTCTCTTTTTCTTATATTAAAAGAAGTAATTTCCTCTGCAAGCCTTCCAAATCTGATAGAACTCCTAAATTTTGATTACATAGCCCTTCTGCTTCTCCACGTGATCTCATAGTAGCCTGTACTTAACCTGAAGACCTTGCTGAGTGCCTAGCTGCACATAGGTGACCAGTAAAGAGTTGTAGAATGGAGTAACTCAGACCCTTTTCTAGAGTCACCAAGAACAATACGAGGCATCCCTCCTTTCTTCACCTCAGTATTAATGATACCCATAGAGTTTCTCTTCACAATTATGGCTTGTCATGCCACCAGGCCCCTGGGAGGCTTTTCTCAGGTGCAGAATTAATGATACCCATAGAGTTTCTCTTCACAATTATGGTTTGTCATGCCACCAGGCCCCTGGGAGGCTATTCTCAGGTGCAGAGCTGGGACTCGGCTGCACTCAAGATGTGAGTCCCTGCACTAAGCCTTCTTGCCAGTAGGTGGCAACTGAAGCCTGAAAGCTGAACACTGTCTCTGCTCCCTCCCTTTTCTGAGCCGCTTGGAGAGGATGCTCTGGTGGGGATCTGGATCTTGGCTCCCAGGCTGCTATTCCTTCTTGCCTGTGTGGAAGCAGCCATTGCCTAGACTTCTCCTTTGTCTTAGATTCTAATTTGGTTCAAGTGCATATGTTCCAACTAGAGTTAAAAACTAGGTGGGCACTGAAAGCTATTAAAATTATTTTTTAAGAGGATGCATGTTCTTAGTAATTCTCCATATTCTTCCTGCGTGTCCTTGTGGATGATGCTGAGTTCCAGGTCAAGGAAGTAGCCTGGGTCCCCTCTGAGTTCCCAAAGCCTAAGGGCTTGAACTGGAGAAAATTACTTTTGTTTTTTTAAAAAGTAGAGAACAACAGAAGTAGAGAATGGCTGTGGGTGTGTGGGAGGAACTTACTGAGGCACTGCTAGTATCACGTTAACATCGTCCCAGAGTTATTTTTAAATTAGCTTTGAGGCTGTTTGTTTGATCATGTTACTGCTCTGGGTCTGAACTTGTGGTGACCGTCTCACAAGAATGACATTGAATTGCAGCGGTGCTGCTGTGGGTGGGCAAGTGATCCTTGGGAGGCAAAGGAGAGGCTACCAGTCTTGTCTGGAAGAGGATGAAAGACGGTTTCTTAAGGAGGGACAGTTTGAGCTGCCTTGGAGGAGGGGAGGTCTATTCTGTCTAGGTGGAAGAAACAATTTGAATAAAAAGAGAAGCACAAATCAGCCTTTTGTATTTCCAAATGCATCTAGCCTACCCCCAAATTCTGCCTAAAATCCTCTCAGCCTATTCATGCCACCTAGCCCAAGGCCT